TGACGTGAATGTTAAAGTGCGTGTGACAGGTTTTCAGGTTTTTTCTAATTAGGACTTGGTCTGGCGGAATAGCACATCTACGGAGTATTTATCATAGTTTTACATCAGCTAAGGGGCCGTTTGTGCGAGAAAAAAAAAAAAAAGATGAAAAGAAAAGAAGTGGCAGTGAGTTATAAAACAGATTAAACCTCTACCAATGTCATCAACGCACAAAAATGCAGGTTCCAATTTACGCGCAATTTTCTGGCAGTTTCAACCTTCATTTAACAAAACAGATGTTATAATTTTTGTTTATTAGTCTAATCACTATTGTGCAATTTAGATAAGTTTTAACTCTGGTTAACATTATGGTTGCTAGGTAACAGTTACTACCTAAATCGCACAATAGTTATGATTAGACTAATGAAAATAAATGACAACAATTTATTTTTTAAATGGAGGTTTAAATGGCAGGAAGAAATTAGTTTCTTGTGTGTAATTTCTCTCTGCATTTTGGAAAAAACTGGTTCTAGTGTTAGTATCGGCTGAAATAGATTTTTGCATGTGTGCGCTTTTTGAATAAACTGAGTCGAAATGAAGATAGAAGAGAGTTATATAGCTGTATGTTTTAGGGTACATTTATTCGTGCGGTGTCGTTTCAGTACGGGACGCTCGGTTCGGTGCGGGGTTGTCCGCGAGTGAGTTTGCGCAATCTGTGTGTGTTTACATTTCGCCACTACATGTGCAGCAACTCGAAGGCTCGGCTCTTTAATATTCATGGAGAACTTGTCCGTGATTGGGGCAGTGTTTTTCGTAGCGCTTTATAGTTAGGGCAACAACAACAATTGCCCCCCGCCTTGACTACGTCCCTGCCGAACCACGTCAATTCTTGCAAAACTACAGTCATCGCACTTCTTTCCTCCCTTTCCCCGGCACAGAGTTTTGTCTACTGTTTATAAGGAATCTATTTTGTATAATATTTCATTCATCTGTTGCTTATTTGAGAATATATAATTGTACTTATTAGTATTACCAAGCAGCACTTTGAATGTATTTTTTCTCATTTGTATAATGTTAAAACAAAATGCTGCTTTAATAAACACACAAATGGTTTCGCACTGTGCCGAAAATGAACCGAACCGTGACGTCAAAACTGAGGTACGTACCAAACCGTGATTTTTGTGAACCTTTACACGCCGAGTATGTTTACACAAACATGCAACAAACTATTTTATACTCCTGTAAAAATGAACAACAACATTAATTTTACTAAAGTGAAAAATGTTTTATTATTTTATTAGTTAAAAGGTGCACTATGTAACTTTTTGGTTAGGGGTCTGTCACGTGCTTGTTTCTATGGATACGTCATTGCTCTGCCTGGAATGTTCCACAGTATGACATTAAACAGCTCAGCCTTACATTTGTTCAATTACAGATGGTTTTATAGCTCAAAAATACCTAGAAAAACAAGCATTCTGACAGTGAAAGGGGCTCCCTCTCCACAGATCTGACCTGTAACTTGGTCTGGTTTGGTCTCCATGATGGAAAGGTTTAATGCCACACTGTGAAACATTCCAGACAAAGCAATAACATCGCCATGAACAAAAGCATTTGATAAGGCCTCCACCAGAGAAGTCACACAATGCACCTTTAACTTAAAATAAATTTGTGAATATTATAGATTTTAAAAGCTAAATATCAGTAAATTTGATCAAATATAATAACCAAGGCCAAATATTGGATCGGTATCAAAATAAAAAAAATCCATCTCTCTAACTGGAATTTTCTATGTTGATGAGCTCACTGCACTACTTCATGTATTTTTGTGCTTTGATTTTACTTTTTTCATACAAACTACCACTTAACTGACATAAAACTTACTTATTTACATACTTATTTAACACGGGTACTTAACCAAGTCAGAATAAAAAAACAAAACATAAAAACCGGTCATATGGACTTTAAAAAACATAAAATCTGAACTAAAGCACTAAATAGTCCAACATTAGAACATCCCATTTGACATTCATGCACATAAAGTGGTTTTGGCTTGGCTCGGTTTTCTCGTTGGTCCTGTTCCGATCGCGACCTCGGGGACAAACTTGGATTTTTGCGCCCGGAGCGGTATCCACGGTAACGGCACATCTGTCAAAGAGCGGCGCACACAACTTTCTGTTCGGATCCAAATTAAAAATCAGGCGAGGACGCACTTCACAGAGACACAAAAGACTACAAAGGCTTCATACGCACACACGCACGCACACACAATCTAAATATAGAGCTTCAAATGGGCTGGAAATGTATGATTAAAAGCCTTGAAAGAATTTTGCTATTACGGTTTGAGTTTGATGCATTTAGAGTCAGAACTATTTTTCAGCACGAAATTTTAAAAAATGGGGTGGGGGGATCGACTTTTTGGAGCTTTATACCATGTTATAATGTCGTTCCCTCATCAAAAACATGCCTTAAGTGGTTTTATATGCCATCCATGCATGTTTGAGTAATCCAGTGATCTCTCCTGAGCCCGATCCAAAGTCTCCTTGCGGTCAGCAGTATGATTCTGCGTGAGATGGTGCTCTGAAGGGAAGTGACTTAGGCTGCGTTCAGACTGCAGGGCTTAATGCTCAATTGAGATTTTTTTGTTTTTTTGCGAGGTTCTTTACATTTCCAATTAAATGCGAATTATATGTGATCTCCAGTGTGAACTTTAAACAGCCCAAAAGTGTCCGGCACGCGCACTGGAGGACACAACGACGAGTGTGCGCAGTGTTTACAGAAGTCGCCTAAACATGGACATGAACATTGAGCACTAGACCCTTTTAAAGTTGCTGTCGTACTGGAGCCAGAACATGTACAGCTCCATTTGTGGCCATAACATCTTGTCCAAGCCTGATCCTGTAAGATCTCAGAAGCTCAGCAAGGCCGGGCTTGATTAATACTTGAATGGGAGACCTGGGAAAATCAGGTGTCACAGTGGGGCGCCAGTTGCAAAAACTGTTCAATCAATCAATCAATCAACAACTTTATTAATCCCAAAAGACAATTCAGTTCGCACATCTCTGATCGTGCACAATCTATAAATAATAATAAACTAGAAAGATAGACACCGTATGTTCAAACCACAGTGCATCAGGGACACAGTAGCAAATTCACTTTCCATTTAAAATCCTTATGGCAGAAGGAATAAAAGATTTGGCGTAGCGGTTAGTCTTTTGCCGTGGGGTGACATAGCGCCTCCCAGAGGGCATTTTCAGAACATGGATAGGCTGGCTCAGTATGGCCTTAGTCTTTTGGAGCACCCGATGTCTCCACACGGAGGCCAAGTCCTCCATCTGAACACCACTGATTTTGCTGCACACTTTTACTATCTGGTTCAGACTGTTCTTGTCCTTCACAGATAATCCATAAAACCAACAAATAAAAGAAAAGATCAGCAAACTTTCAATAAAAGAATGATACAAATTATTTAAAATGTTAGGCGATACATTAAAAGAGCAACCCGCTGCTGTCTTCGTTTGATGATTTGCTCAATGTTCTTATCAAACCTTAGAGAGGAATCAAACACACTTCCCAAGTACTTATAAGAGTGTACCATTTCTACTGCTTCCCCATGGATGGAGCTGGCTATTGTTGTGTCCTCAGGCAAGACACCTCACCCACACTGCCCAGTATGAAAGTGGTGTGTGCGTGGGCGATGGTGGCGGTCGGAGGGACAGATGGCGGCAATTGGCATGGCGGCCGCGCTTCAGTCAGTCTGCCTCAGAGCAGCTGTGGTTACAATAGTACCTTACCACCACCGGGTATGGAGTGAATGAATAATGCTCTGCAAAGCGTCTTCGTGACAAATGTCTGTGAAAAAGCGCTATATAAATAAAAAACATACTTACTTTTACTTTTACTTATTTATTTATTATTTATTTACTTTTATTTTATAAAATATTTATATTTATATTTATTTTATTTTTATTTACTTTTATTTATTTACTTATTTGTTCTAAGGAGGAGACTGAGAAGGAGCTTACTGATGTTTGCCGCATGTAGATGACGTGTAGGTGGGATGAATGTGACCTGACCTTTCAGACTGAAGTCGCATGTCAAAAGATCGGATATGTATCGATTTTAGGACCACATAATCCAAGTTTCCTGGGTCACATTTGAAAAAATCTGATCTGTGTCGTTCAGACTGTCATTAAAAGATCAGATACAGGTCACATAGGGATGAAAAAATTGGATTTGGGTCACTTCAGGCTGCAGTCTGAACGTAGACAAAGTGCAGGGGGATTCAGAGCATCAAAAACGAAAGTGAAACTTAAACATGTTAAATTAAAAATAGTTTTCAGCAAATATAGCATTTTCAAAACAATAAAAGGTAACCCGGTGACCTCAATATGTCATGTGTTGGCAAATAATACCTCTTTTTTAAATCTTGCCTGCTTTTACAGCTAGTAAAGGAAGTAAAGTTTGAAAAAATATATTTTGTAGTGCTACACAAATACATGCCCATGACACCTTGAGAATGTCCAAACTCAATTCAAATGTATCTATACAGCCCATTTAAAAAGACGCTGTCCTTGATTTTTAAAAATGTGAAAAACAGCACTAGTTCATTTCAAACGGTTTGTCGTGGTCCAAAGTTATTCCTCACTTACCTTATACATTCAGATCATCCGAATGATTCACTACAGTGAGTTTATAAATGCTTTTCAACACCTTCAGAGACCAGAGCGGAGTTTTGTTGGCATGGAAAAGCAACAACTAGCATGCTTACCACACACTTCCTCAATATTAATCTAAAAAAACGCTTAGATGCAGACAGACATGCAACCTCTAGAGCTGCTTATACATTATATCTGTACTGGGCAAGACGGATTTTGCTCAAATATATGTGGAAAAAATGACTGCCGAGTACCACAGTGGGGCAGAAGCGGCTCTATTACATGCTGTCATTGTGTCCTTAGGCAAGACACTCCACACACCTCGCCTAGGATGAAGTGGGAAGCCTTCACGTTGGTTGTTCTTACCTGATGTATGATCTCAGACACTGGCAGCTGGTCCACATACGAGTACTGCTTCCTCTCCTGCTCCTCACTCACGGCGCTGGAAATCCAAAACAAAAAACAGAAATAATTTGACATTTGACCATCTGACACAACGTTTAACAGGTTAACATGTTAAAACAGGTCACCACTCCCTCCTCAAGACAGATTCAGACAGTAACGCTCAATCAGATTTGTTCATTTCAACAAAAGAGCTCATTGGTCACCCCTCATTTAGTGCTTTGCTCACTGACTCTACAGAAGTAACATTATAATATCAGTAAAGTACCGTATTTTTCGGACTATAAGGAGCACTTAAAATCCTTTAATTTTCTCAAAAATCGTCAGTGAGCCTTATAATCCGGTGTGCCTTATGTATCAATTCTGGTTGTGCTTACTGTCCTCAAACCAATTTTATGTGGTACATGGCGCTCAAAAATCTGTCAAAATATTTTAGTACGACTTTGGTAAACTACGAAGCCTCACTACTTGATGGATTGTCTAAGCATTACGGCTACTGTAGTCAGGAGCCTCGCAGAGTAAAGCCAAATTTACGGTCCTTATTCCAACAGAAGCTGACCGCATCAGCACAAAAGGAGTGAGCTGTTTTTACACGCTCTTTTCACAATTTTATTTATACCAACCATCCCAACCCGGGTGTGTCCCAGTTTAGAATTTTGAAAATCTGGTCACCCTAACCTACAGTCTCTCTTTAAGGAGGTGTGTGGTGACTAAAAAAGGAAAAAAATTGTAAACATATTATCGTATTTCTCGGACTAAATAGCAAGCTTAAATACCTTTAATTTTCTCAAAAAATGTGCCTTATGTATTAATTCTGGTTGTGCTTACTGACTTTGATCTGATTTTATGTGGTACACGGCACTCAAAAATTTGTCAAAATGTTTTAGTACAACTTTGGTAAGCTATGAAGCCGCACTGCTTGATGGAATGTCAGAGCATTACGGCTATTGTAGTCAGGAGCCTCACGGAGTGTGGGGAAGCTGGCCCAAGTGGTCAAAATGAGAGTCCAGTGCAAAGTTGTCCTTCACCAAACCAAATTCTTTATTGGATCCTTCCAAGTCGTGGGCAAAATTATATACATATTTACAAAAAAGAACTGTGCTTAACTAAACAAAAGCAACAGAAAATAACGCAACAAAAGAAAATACCCACAGGCACCTGGCTGCACTGATGGTGATCTACCTACTGATTAAACTGCCTCTACTTATATACCCCCCAGAGAGGAAGTCCCTCCCCCTGGGTTCACACCAACTTACGGGGAAAACTGTAGCAATTTCCTTTCCTTACTGGTGTGCTGCCTTAAATTATTTTCTGAAGCCTAATCCCCCTTTTAAACTGAACAGTGCTCCAACTTAACTAGATACACTGAAACCAAAATTCTAATAACCCATTTGATAAAACAAAGAGAACCATTTCCGAGGCTTCCCTCCACATGGTCTGGGCCAACACCTCCCCCTGAGCCTATAAATATGGCTGCCAAAGGACACGCCCCCTCTTTTGTTCCCAGACCATGTGGAGTCACAGGTGAAGGTGGTAAGTTTAAACAAAAATGAAGGGATATAACCAAATAAAATGAATTTAAAGTAACTGTGTGAATGTGATCAATTAAACAAAGACTAAATAAAACAAACCTGGGATAGTTATTATTTAGCTGTTTAGTTGATATAGATAGATGTAACCGAACTAAGGTGAAAAATGGGGACAAAGGCCCTCTTTGTCACATGGAGTAAAGCCAAATTTACGGTCCTTATTCCAACAGAAGCTGACCGTATCAATGCACAAGGAGCGAGTTGTTTTTACAGGCTCTTTTCACAATTTTATTTATACCAATCATCCCAACCCATTCTGGTTGTGCTTACAGACCTCGAACCGATTGTATGCGGCACACGGCGCTCAAAAATCTGTCAAAATGTTTTAGTATGACTTTGGTAAATTACAGAGCCACACTGCTTGATGGACTGTCGGAGCATTACGGCTACTGTAGTCTGGAGCCTCACGGAGTAAGAGCGAGCGAGTTGTTTCTTTCAGCACTTATAGTTTATGCAAAGTAGTAATGTGGTTTTAAGTTTTGTTTCTGTAAAATATAAACAACTGTCTGCAAAGCTGCATTAAACACACTATTACTCAATGTATATTTGAGTCCAACTCGTAGAAAAAAACAAACTTAAATTATCGATCGTGGATGCTTGGGCAAATGTATAAGTCTCAAGTCTCATCAGTTTGCTTCGCTTAATGCACCTTGCGATTTATATATGAAAATAGATGAGAGAATTTAACATTATTGATATTGCGCCTTATAGTTTGAAAAATACTGTAATATTTTTAAATCCTGTGATACTTCTTCTTTCTTTTTTCCCTGTAAGCAGCCATGTGTTTTGATGCGGACAGACCACGCTTGTCCCTGACTGGCTAATCCACCTGTCAATCTGAAAACAGGAGGATTCACCAGTGACCAAACTCACATCTAATGGTGATTGAATTGGAGAAGTGTGTACTTTAGATCCCAGGCGGGGATCTTGGAGAATAGACTGCAGTGTCTATGGACGGTGTGATTGACAGCTCATTTTCTGTTCAAAGTCAATGAAACGCAGAATAAACTCAAAGACTAAATGCAAATGAGGCGATTACCCTGAGAAATAAGAAACGCAGCTCACAATCTGAAATCAGCCCCATCATAATGAAGACGGCCGAGCACTCATTTGGGGATTATTAAAAGGCGATGCAACTTTACGCAGAAAGTACACAGCCAAAGTAAAAGTGAGGGCTCTTTACAAATAAGAGATAGGATGTTGGCTGAAAATTATACATTGCTTTCATTACAAATCTCACTAGTTAGTTGTGTTTTGTTTGTTTTTTTGGTGGGGGGTATTGATACTTTGCAGGTGATACTAACTAGAGCCACTGCCCTGTCTGAAACTGTCACCTGTTCACAGTAAATATGTTTTTCAAGCTATTTTGAGAAGTAAAAACTCCTGTGAATGCATGACCGATAAATCATGTCATATAGAGGTCTCCACATGGATTTAATCCGACAACAACTGTCAATGAACTGTCCATCTATACAACAAAATCCCAGTTAAAGTCTTCTTCTGCAAAATAGACTTCTCAGAGCTTTAGAAAACAACGATAACTAGATGTTCCCCTTCTCATTGAGTGATTGATGTGTTTGAGTCATCTTTATTCTCCTGTGTTTAAGACTTCAAACTCCCATTTTCACCACCACCAGTACACAACTACTGATCTGTGCTTACTTCATTCTCCAATTTTATTTTCTTGATCAGTGATAGGAGTGTAAAAGAATTTAAGTCATTTATTCTCCACTTACATTTCTCAGTTTAACGTCGCCTCAAAAGAGCTATATTTACTCCATGATCTTCTTTTGGCATACCATTGGCATACCACTCTCTAAATCAGGGGTGTCAAACTCAAATTCACAGAGGGCCAAAATTAAAAACTGGGACTAAGTCATGGGCCAAACTAAATATCCATCCATCTATCCATCCATTTTCTTCCGCTTATCCGGGACTGGGTCGCAGGGGAAGCAGTCTAAGCAGGGACTCCCAGACTTCCCTCACCCCAGACACGTTCTCCACCCAACCCCGAGGCGTTTCCAGGCCAGCCGAGAGACACAGTCCCTCCAGCGTGTCCTGGGTCTTCCCCGGGGCCTCCTCCCGGTGGGACATGCCCAGAACACCTCCCGAGGGAGGCGTCCAGGAGGCATCCGGAACAGATGCCCGAGTCACCTCAGCTGACTCCTCTCGACGTGGAGGAGCAGCGGCTCTACTCCGAGCTCCTCCAGTGTGACTGAGCTCCTCACCCTATCTCTAAGGGAGCACCCAGCCACCCTATGGAGGAAACTCATTTCGAGCACTTGCATCGCGATGTTGTCCTTTCGGTCATTACCCAAAGCTCATGACCATAGGTGAGAGTAGGAACGAAGACTGACCAATAAATCGAGAGCTTCACCTTTCGGCTCAGCTCCTCTTCACCACAACAGTCCGATACAAGGACCGCATCACTGCAGACGCTGCACCGATCCGCCTGTCAATCTCACGCTCTGTCCTCCCCTCACTCATGAACAAGACCAAACTAAGTATTTATTGAAAAATTTCAACAACATCTGCAGGTTTTCTCTTCTTTTGAGATATGTAATGTTAAAACTTTTCTAATTAAAATAAATGTTTAATAATAGTTTTGCTTCAACAGAATCCAGAACAAACATAATATAAAATAGTAACAAAAACTTAAATAAATAATGTCTCTTTAGCCTGTCTGTAGCCACCAGGCCAGCTCTAATACATATTTGATATGAGCTCCAGGACCAAATATAATTAAATCATGGGCCAAATTTGTTCCCCAAGCCTGAGTTTGACATGTCTGATCTAAACTGTGGCATATTGCTGTCTAACCAGAGTCTACTTGCCTTCATAGTCTCACTACACTTGGTATATAAACTAGGGATGGGCATTCGATGAAATTTTATTAATCGATCATCGGGAGAATTAACGATCGATTTTCGATTAATCATGAACGTTTTTATATAATAAGTATCATCATTATTATTACTATTACTAATCTGCATAAATAAGCTCAACTTTACAACACATAAACTATAACCATTCTAGAGCCACATCAGCCCGTTTGTGTTTAATGCAGATTTGCGCAAGTAGAAACAAAACTTAAAACCGCATGGCTAATTTGCATAAACTGAGCGAGGAGAAAAAAAAAAAAAAGCTCTCTCGGTTCAACTTCTGTCGGACTAAAGGACACAACTCAGTGGAATACAGGTGTTCTTTCTGTGACAGAGGGATGTAGATGCTGAAGGTGAGTCTGTTTTATATGTGTGTCGTGATGTTTTCAGAGATCGTACGTGTGCAGGTTTAGCGCAGCTCTTTATGTTGCAGTAACCGGGCTACAGCGTTTACATGCACCATGACGAAACTGGGACACAGATTTACATGTAAACACACTCACTGAGTGGTACAGTTTCTCCAAGGAGGTGCCAGAGCCCAAACGTGGGACTGTGAGGCCGCAGCTCCC